GCCGTCTGGCCAGACTAATAAAGGTCTGTTTTACTTTCCAACTTGTCCGGTGTGTTCCCTCCCGGGTGTTCTTCGCTGCAGTCAGCTCCTCGGAGCGTTTGGTAAGGCCCACGGTCTTACAGGCAGAGCTGTATGGAGCGACTCACTATAACTGCACTTGCATCGGGACCAGGTGAGGCAGTTTAGTTACGACCCAGAGGGAGGCTTCGTGACCAGGGCCTCGGAGGAAGAGGCTGAAGCCGGGATCCAGGAGACGTGGCCGCCCGCGGAGCGCAGCGCCTCTTCCTACGGCTCCAATCCGGGGATTCTGGCCTGGTCAGCAGGCCGAGCACGGCGCGGACAGTGAAGACAGAGGCTGGAGCACGCTCAGGGGCAGAAAGCAGCTCCCAGAGAAGATAGTCAGTGCGCTGAGAGCAGCTCTGTCGGGAGCACGCACCTGTCATCCCAGTGCTCGGGGAGGCTGAGGCAGGAGGATGGCAAGTCCCAGGCCAGTCTGGGCAACTGAACAACTTGGAGAGGCCCAGTCTCAACATTTTAAAAAGGGGAGGGGGGGCTGGGCTGAAGCTCGGTGTGAAGGCCCTGGCTTCAATGCCCAGTACCACAACAAAGAAAAAGGAGGCAAAGCTTGCCCTGAAACGCCTCCTGAGACATGAGCAGGGGTCCTGGGGCCGCCCCACAGCCAGGGCTGCCATCCCAGCACGCGGGCGCCGGCTGCCTGGACTTAGCCTGCCTCAACTTACCCTGGACGCCCTGGCGTCCATCCTCCGGCCGCCTGGCCTGTGTCCTCGCGCCGCGGCCCAACGCGGACCCCTTACTCTACCCGCGCACTTACCTGGCTCCCTGACGGAACCCAGGGCCTGGCCGACCTGCACCCACCCTCTTTCCTCGCCGGAAGCAGAGCAGGCTCCCAAGGCTGCAGGACCCGGATGCATACCTCTCTCGCGGGTTTCCGCGAGACCTGGACAGTATAAAAAGAGCGGCCTCCCGCGCCGAGCTCCCGCCGAGGCCCACCTCAGGCGGCCTCCACGGGTGTCCTTTGGCCTGGCTTTTCCTCTTTTCCTCAGCCCGAGCTCACACTGTACACCCAGCTTCTCCCTCACTCTTCACTTTTACCTTTTCCAATAGATTTGGCCACTGCTTTTTGCTCGTTTTGTTCAGTTCTTTGAGACGAGAAGAGCCTGGACTCCAACTCCAGAAGGAGAGGCGAGCTGCCAGAGCTCGCTAATGTTTAACTGGCGAGCCGCTCTGAAAGGAGTCACCCTGTAACAATCTCATAGCTAACAGTGCTGCTCACTGTCCAGAAAGGGAGGATATGGAGCCACCACTGCAGCTGCCCTCGTTTGATCGGACGCTCTCAGCTTCCTAGGTAAAGTCCTCAAGGGCTTCCGCTCCCAAGTGTGCTGCTCAACACCTTCTGGAAACGACAGCCTGGAAACGACGGCCTGGAAACCACAAACTTCTTTCCGACGTCCTTCTTCTTTCCACTTTTGGGAGGTGCTCCCTATACCCCCACGTGCCGGGCGAGCACTGCGCCCCGCTTGCCTGTTCCTTAAATGACTCCACGAGCCATCACGGGCTCCACCATAGCCCCCGGAGTCACCGTCCTCATCCGAAGCAGCGCGTGTTCTCCCCGACAGGAAATGTGCAGGGAATTAACTGAGAGTAACGGCGCCTTCAAAACAACTTTCCTCTAAAAATAAATTTCTGCCACAAGAGGGCGCTAGGACCTCGGGTGCATCAAGAAGCTACTGTAGTTTCATGAAGCAATTGTGAAGTGCTGAGAATTAAACACAGGTTAGGCCGCCAGGAATAAGAGTATTCGTGCGGCTGAAGTTGATTCTTTTCCGCGAAATGTTTTTAAATTGACTTTTAAACACGAACATTAAATGCTTTAAACTCTTACAAAAGTATGCAACAAACATGTTTCTTTGCCTGCATTTGATGTTCCTGTGGTTTATTTAACAAACAAGAAAACATTTTTATGACGGGGTGCTTAGTGTGCGTACCTGGGTTCAATCCAGCACAGAAAAAAAGGAAGAAAAGAAAAAGGAAAAAGAGCGGGAAGGAGGAAATTGTTTTGTTTGTTGGTTTTCTGTTGCTGGTTGTTTTTTCTGTATGTCTGCTTGCTCAGTCCACTGAGCTACATCCCCGGCCCTGTGCCCATCTATTAACAGAAGACTGGCCAAGGTAGAGAAACAGGGAGGACCGAAGTAAGGCTCTCACCTCAGCCCAGCCCTGAGCGCTAACCCTTGAGGCCTCCTTCCGGGAAGCCAGCCCAGCCCCTGGTCTGAGGCAGGCGCTGCTGGATAGGGCCTGGCAGAGGCGCCTGTCCACGTTGGACTGAGCGCTCTCGAAGGGAATGCAGGCCTCGCTGTGTAGAAATATCAAGGCCAAGCTCTTTGTTTCCCTGCGGTCCGGGGGCTGCACTTCGGCCTCTGCCGCGTCACATCCTCAACCCCTATTTTTTGGTTTGTTGTCACCTCCTGCCTCGGCCTCCCAGAGCCGCAGCCCTGTCTATCGGAGAGGCAGCTGCGGAGGAAGTGAGCCCGGGACTGAGCTCTCCCAGGGTGTGGACCCGAGGATGCGGGCTGGGTTCACCCTCTCCCGCCCGCGGGTCCCAGCGCGGCTGGGCCGAGCCCTGTGCCCGGCTGTCCGTCCATACACTGCGCGGGAGCTCACGTCCTCGCTGACCCGGGCCGGGGTGCTGGGGCCAGACCCAGAGCCCGGAGACCTGGGAGGGCCAGGCAGACGGGCCACTAGTGGGCGCTCACAAGCACGAGGAGGAGGGAGCATTCAGAAACCACCGTGAATACTAAAGTGTTAAAGGTATTATAGTAAACGACAGCACTGCGAAGCCCCTCAAACCCTCCCTCGCTTCAAGCACGCTTACCCCATCTCTCCTGCCATTTTCTGAGGCAGCTCTGAAGTCCTCTTTCCTGCGTGTCTTTGGAGGCCAGCCTGGGCTACATAGCAAGAACTGGTCTCAAAAACAAAGAAACAAAAACACAGTGAATGCTGCTGCCGATGCCATGCAACAGAAAAGCAGGCTCGTAAACAGGACGCCGTGTGTGTCCCCATCCACCTTAGTCATGGATCTGACACCGTGTGACTTCTGGCTCCTCCTCAGAGTCAGTGACCATGAGCAGTACACATTTTGAATCGAATCGGGACACTGAGGCAGCCAGTACAGCACCACTAAAGGCACTCAGGAAAGAGGACTCCAGAGCTGCTGTGGGAAGTGGCGAGGACCATGGGATGTGTGTGTTGGAGGGGATTAAAAGCAATGTGTCTTTTTGTAATGCACTTTTTAGACTCACAAGCACATGTGTCTCTGAGCACACACGTGTGTTACACGACTGCAAGTGATCCCCAGGGACTGAGCGGCAGCACTCAGCGACTGGTGCCGACCCAGGCCGCAGGCCGGGTCTTTGCTGCTCAGGCTTTCCAGTCCCCTCTGTCTCTCTCACTGTCTCCAAACCCAAACACAACGCAGGGCAGTGGGGGCCGGGGCTGCAAAGCGCTGCCTCCCGCAGCTGCTCTTCCATCTCCCTGGGCTTTGCCCCCAGAGGTTCGGGTGTCACAGTGGGAAGAACCCCACACCCTGACAGACGATGTTCCGGCCAGGCAAGGGCCGGGCACTGGCCCAGCGGCTGCCCATGAGTTTCGAGTTTATGGTCACCACAGTGGGTACATTTGGCCTGGGACATCTCTCTTGCATTTCCAAGTCAACAGATAGGGAAGCGGGAAAATAATGTGTCAGATAATCACAAAACAGTCCTTTTCCCTGTTTTGTGCTGGGATCAAACCCACAGCCCTCAGCAGGCCAGGCAAGGGCTCTAGCATGGGCTGACCCAGCCCCAGGAGACTCTATTTTAAGGACAACTCCACAGGCAACCACTGCTCACTATGCTGGTCCCCTGCAGTTCTTTGCAAGAATCCACACATTAAAAACATGAGTGTGTTTTAAAACATTCGCGACAAGTGGTCTTCATGGCCTTGCTTTGGGGAAACCATAAAACAGATACAAGGTGTGATGCACACAGCACAGCCAATGTTTAATGTTTTAATCATAACAGCCTGTCATCCCAGCACTCTGGAGGATGATACAGGAGGACTGCCGAGAGTTTGAGGCCAGCCTGGAAGACAGAGATCCTGTCTCAAACAAAACAAAACAAAACAAAACAAAAAATCCCCAAATCCTCCCTCAAGTTGAGCATGCCCCTCTGGTCCTTCCTGCTGCTTTCTGAAGCAGCTCCTCCTGTGAGCTGGAGGCAAGGGCAGGGTTTGAGGGGCAGCAATGCCAATGTGTCTTTTACTGTAAGAATTGTTTTGTTTTGTTTTGTTTTGTTTTTGGTACCAGGGATCGATCTCAGGTCCTTGCGCTTGCGCAGCAGGCTGCAAAACCACTGAGCTAAATCCCCGGCAGAATTTTTTAACTTAGTCATTCACCATATGTTTGACTACATCACATATTTGAGAATCTTGGATTCATCCATTCTGCAGAACATATCCAGGTCAATTATGCTGTGAGAAACCTCAGGCCCAGTATTTGCAGAGACAGGAAATAAGGTCAAAGAGAAATGTTATCTCTAGTTAGGTGTAATCTCAGCACTCTAGGAGGCTGAGGCAGGAGGATCTTGAGTTTCAGTTCAGCCTGGGCAACTCTGAGACTTACTGAAAACCTTCCCTCAAAAGAAAAAATTTTAAAAAGGGATGGGGAGGTAGCTCAGTGCAAAAGCCCCAGGTTCATTCATCAGTAAGGGGGGGAAAAGAGCTGTCAAGAAGAGCTCTTCAAAAGGGCCTGGGATTTAGCTCAGTGGCACCGTTCCTGCGTGGCAAGCACAAGGTCCTGAGTTTGATCCCCAGTGCCGGAAAAAAAAAAAATAGAGAGAAAAAAAAAAAAAAGAGCTCTTAGGACCTGGCAAAGTAGCTCCGTGGTAGAGGGTCATAGGATACTAACCACGTTTTCCTGATATGCTGCAGATGCTGAATCACTTGGAGGATGCTCACGAAAGTGTTAAGTATGAAAACAGCTATTATCAGATCCCAGCCAATGTAGGACTCCTACTGGAGGCTGACAGCCAAGTCTTAATCAATTTAAAGCATCTTAAATATCTGCACGATGACATTTCAGGGAACTCTCAAAACCAGAAAACAACTGCGGCATGGAGCTGGGATACCCTGGTAACAAAGCAGTTCCCAGGTACTCGGGAAATCGCTACCTTTTATTTCATGGTAATTCTCTTTTGGGTTAAAGTCTGATTTGGACGGGAGAGAGGGGATGGAAAAAGAAGTAAGACTCCTTAGGAGGGACTGTGGCCAGTTATCCATGAGGAATGTGGCCATTATATACTGTACACGAGGACGAATGAAAACACAAATTTAAAAAATCAAGTTTGTGACTTAAATTTTTCCATCTTTCCTGTCATGTCTCCACCTTTTCACCCCAGCCTTGAGAAGACAACTGGATTCCAACACACAGGACCAGAAGTTCAAGAACCGAAAATAAATCACACCAGCACCAGTCTGCTTAATTGTGAGGACTTAACATCTAACTTTCCACAGTGAGGGCCAGGATTAAGCTCAGTGGTTCCGTCACCTGCCTCACAAGCAGAAGGTCCCGAGTTTGATCCCCGGAACCAAACAATAAGAATAATAAATCCAGGAATCCACTCTTGAATGCAGTGCTTTCACGTAACACTGGCTTCTCCCTCCAGGTTCCAGGGACAGTGGCCGTCCGAACAAAGGATTCAGCGTGCCATTGAGCTGAAGCTGTTGGTTTTCACATGCAAACGCCTGGCCCCCGCTCCTCAGCATCCCAGGGCGGCTTTTACATTTAAAGCCGGGCCAGGCTAGGGACCCAGCTTGTTTTCTAATTATCATTTCCTTGGGGTGCGAATGTGTTTGTTCCTTATTTGGGCCACTCTTGGGCAGGACCTAAGCCAGGTTAAAAGAAGTTCCTTTCATTTGCCTAGTTTCAAAGATACAAAAGAATTTCGCACTTTGCAAATCCCCAGCAGTTTTGAGGAAGAATGTAGCCCCTCTGGGGGAGTGAGACTCTTTCTGCTGTCTCAGTCGAGGAGGAAGCCCCACCTTCAGAGGTGAGGTCGGCAGCCGCTGTCCCTTCTCGGCGGGGGATGTAAAGGCCCCTCTGCCCCTGCAACTTCGACCCCATTGTTTGACAGGGCTGGATTCCCGAAATAACAGAATTCACACTGAAAGTGGTTTTAGTTCTGTAAACTTCACAGCCCTCACGAATGCTTCAAACTAGGGTATTAGAATATGTGTGAAGATCTACCAAAATATAACGCAAAGCTTGTCCCTTCTGGGTCAGCTAATAAATCAAAGAATAATTTTAGCCGTCTATCACGCTTTTGCAATTATTACTGAAGTTCAGATAATGCCCCGTTCAGATCGATTTTGAAGTTATGCAAACGAGCAGATGCCATTAGATCAGCGTTTTCAGTCTGTGACCCTGTTTTACAAATCTGCAGGTGAAAACTGCAGCCTGTGGCATCCACAGCGCGAAACACAGGAAGCCAGGCGAGGGCATCTTCTCTGCGCCCACGCACACCCGGTCTTTATCTACAGAACTACGTCAGGAGGTCAGTATTCAAAAGGGGCCTCCCATCCCAGGTTAACTCTGCTACCTCAGTAACCCAAGAAACATTTTATTTAGACTCTTGTTATTTGCACCATAGGCAAGAGCACACCGATCTTAACTGAAGATAAACAGTGTTCTCTTACTTGGTTTCCTTTAAATACACAATAGGGCCAGCACTTTATTCCTGAGCTACCTACCTCCCCTTCCCTACACTCAGGGTTAATGCACCTGCTTTTCCAGTTGTTTTAGCGCTTGCATATTTGATGCTCAATGACTTCAGGCCCTGCCCACTGCCCTGCATGGCACACTCCAGGGACCCTAACTAGGGACTTCCAAAGAGAGACTCCAGAGAGCAGGGAGGGGGGTGCAGGATGTAACTCAGGTGAAGGCACCCAGGGGGAGAAAAGCCTGGATCCACTGGCTGTTTATGATATAAGAAAGACATGGCTAGGGCCAGTGATTTAGCTCAATGCAAGGTCCTGAGTTTGATTCCTGGTATGGGGAGTGGGGGGATCTCCAAGATAAAGAGATGTCTGATGAGTGGAACCCAAGAATTCCAGCTAGGAAAAAATTACTCCATCACATGTAACAAAGAAAGCAGTCTTTCAAGTCAATAAGAGAGCAAAACACACAAAGCTGGACATGGTGCAGCACGCCTGTAATTCCAGCACTCAAGAGGCTGAGGCAGGAGGATGGCCAAGAATTCGACGTCAGCCTGGGCTATGAAACAATAAAAACAAAACCAAACAAAAAAACCAAGAATAAATACTTAATATTAGTATTTGCAGAAATTGATACACTCAGTTCCCTAAGTAGGAACACAAATTTGTGCCATGACCATGTAGGGTAACCTGAGAACACAGGCTAAAATTAAGGTAGCACAGTCTCTTTACTTTCTACCAGGATTTGTGTGTGTGTGCGTGACAGGGTCTTGCTATGCAGTTCAGGCTGGGCTTGAAGTCACTATGTAGCCCAGGCTGGCCTCAAACTCCCAGAGATCCTCCTGCCTTAGCCTCCTCGATTTTGCCCAAGGCACCAGGTAAGAAATCAAGGCAGAGTCCGGGGTCTTGAGGCGCTGTCTGCAGACACCTGTGTCAGTCGAGATCTGAGTTCCTTTCTCTCTTCAAGCAAAGGATCAATCAGAGTCAGCACTAGGGCTTGGTCTCAGAAGGAGACAGGATAACGACAGTGGTCTTCCACAGTCTGCTACTGGATTGCTGGAATTTTGAATCTTTTATTATAGATAGATGAGCTAGGTAGAAATATTATAGGTAGTCAGATAGGGCTAAGTCCTCAAGAGGGCCAGGACAAAGGTGAAACACACCACAGCTCCACATCAGCTGAAAATCAGGCCTCAAGATGGAGACAAGATGACCAGATCCACATACTTCTTCAAAAAACTGGGCTAACAAAGTATAGATAGGCATTTACCACCCTGGGGGTGATCAGAGACCTCTGGACCCACCGCCCCCTGGGAGAATCCTTGTTTTTTCATTCATGCTTGGTACGTGACTCGCTTTCCAACTGGACACTGTTACCTGAGTGACTGTCCTTGTAATCTTATTGGATGTTCATGGCTGTGGCCCATGTTGTACCCGCGTGGGCTTCACCCTATAAAACTCCTCTGTAAAGTGGGGTCCTTGGGCTGCCCACTCGGGACCCTCCTCCCCTCAGGAGCTTTTCTATCAATAAATATCTTCCGGGGGTGTAGCCCAGGAGTAAAGTGCCTGCCCAGCATATCTAAGGCCCTCAGTTCAATCCCCAGTACAGGAAGGAAGGAAGGAAGGAAGGAAGGAAGGAAGGAAGGAAGGAAGGAAGAAAGAAAGAAAGAAAGAAAGAAAGAAAGAAAGAAAGAAAGAAAGAAAGAAAAGAAAGAAAGAAAGAAAGAAAGAAAGAAAAAGAAAGAAAGAAAGAAAATCCTGAAATTTTGGGCCAGGGATTTAGCTCAGTGGCATTGTGCCTGCCTTGAAAGTGCAAGGTCATGAGTTCGATGCTCGGTATGCCAAAAAAAAAAAAAAACCTCCCTACTTTTAACCTCCATTGCTCCTAGGACTCATTCTTCGATTTCTAGAGAACAGGAACTTGGCGTATCATACATTTAACAGATTGGGAGATATAATATTTCATATTTCATATTTCCCATGACATTATTGGAGGTTTCACTGAGATAATAATTAATAGGAGGTAAGAATTTACTTTTATTGATTGCTAAATTATACTATTGTCATTTTTTGTTTGTTTGTTTTGACACCAGGGATTGAACTCAGGTCCTTGTGCTTGCGAGGCAGGCAGCAATACCACTGAGCTAAATCCCTGGCCTCCAAAATTGTCATTCTTGTATGTTGCTGCTTGTCCCTCTTGTAAATGCTTTGTACTTTGAGTTCTTATACATTGTCATTTTGTTAAAATGATGGTGATGTTTCTTTAAAAGGACATTTTACTTCTGTAGACAAGGTTTTGTTTCTGTTCTATATTGATTGCTTGATTGACTTGTTAGTGCTGAGGAAAAGTCATGTGAGATCATCATCCAATGGCCTTTACCAATAATTACAATTAGAAAATGTAGTAAAAATAGGTGTCTCTGTAAAATCTAACTTATAGTTGAAAAATATACATGCCTATTGATAAAATGTGGGACCCCAGCTGTCAATTAATAAGGCACTAGCTGGCAGCCCCTCTTAAGACTTGGGGGACAGGTTTCACTGAGCAGTCTGGCCCAATCCTGCTCTGTACTCTAGAGAAAATGCTGAGCCAGCTCTGCCTCGGTTTCCTTTCTGGTCTGATCTTCACTGGTGGGGAGGCAGTCTCAGTTCTTGAGATTCCCCACTCTGGCCTTTCCAGGCTGAGAGTGACGACTCAGGGGCAAATTGTCTCAATAACTCACCGAGAGCATGAGAAGGAAAGACCTCCTCTCCTGGTCTCATTTCCAGTCTCTCCTGCCAATCTTATCCTCTCCTTTAGAGAGGCATGTAAAGTCAGAAAGGATCTCTGAAGTACTCAGTGTCTTTCTCCTAAGAACCTTTAAGTTAAGGCCTTAGAAAATGAGTGTTCTTGCCAATGCCGAAGATAGGGAAGTCATTTTTTTTTCAAGTTTACATGTCCATGATTTATTTTTTTACTTAAAAAAGATACCCAATTAAAATATTAATAACCATCAAAAATAAACTGACATAAATGCAGTTGGAGCAAATTTTCAATTTGGATTAAATTTACCTTGTGAATTATGAAGAAGTTTCACTTAGTTGCAAAACTATTCCACCCATACAGCATCTTATTTTCAATAAATCCTGACCTCAGAGCCAAGAGAATAAAACTTCTGGGGTAACATTTACATAAACACGGAATCCTATACTGTCCACTTTTATTTCTGATTTCTACGGTCAGTAAAACAAAAAGTTAATAAGCTTGAACAGGAAGTTGTGACGGGCTAAGGCCCCGTGGGGACAGGGAAGTCATTTTAGATCAGGAGATATACTCCATCTCTGGGTTAGATGAGACATCGAGGGTTTTTGTTTTGGTTTTTTGGGGTACCGGGGATGAAACTCAGGACCTTGTGCTGTCGAGACAGGTAGCGGAACCACTGAGCTAAATCCCGGGCCCTGAGACACCGAGGTTTTGTCCGTCCAGGAGAGCACATGAAAGCGATGTCCCCGCTTAGTGCTCTGGGCAACAGTCTTCCTCGGGAGACTGCACCTGAGACCCCGTGGAAAGAGCTGACTTCGGGTGAAACCAGGAGCTATCTCCATAAGCACAACACTTAAGGGACCAAAACACATTTAGATTAAGGGAGGATCTTCTCTCTCTCTTCAAGGTCTGGCTCTTACCATTTATGTATGAGAAAAATACTTTGGCTAATAATTGTAGACTAAATGCTGACAAGATAGGCAGCTATTTTCCTTTCCGGAGACAGCTCTCTGATTGTGTGGAACTAGTGAAAACTGGACTACAACTGAGAGGTCGTGGCCAGGGCTACTCTCTGGCAGGTGCTTGAAGGTCCCCCAGTGGAAACTGGCTCCCAATAGCCCACATGGGTAATCAGTAGGAAAATCTCCACATAACTGTTGTCCCCTAGCTGGACTCCTCAGGGAGGTGAAGGGTAACCTTCCAGTGATCATCAGATATCCTCTGTCTCAGAGTGACCTGAAGCAATGCTGGTAGGGCCCTTTCTCAAGCCTCCATTAAGAGTTGAGCTATGGGATGAGACTGTTCTCTCTCTGCTAGTAAGATAGACGCAAATAGAAAACTGTAACTCGGTAGAGGTTGTTTGACAAATCTTTAATAGGCTAAAAACTCTGAAGCTTTTGGGAATTAACTTTAGAACACTTTGGCTGCTTTACTACTAGACCACTTAGAACAGCTAACAGAGAAATAGTTTGCATTTGTGCTTTGCTAACTGGGAATAAAAGAGATCTCAACCAGCTTTTCTCTCCTTGCACGTGCTCGTGGAGACCTGATGAGTGTGCCCTGTCAACTCTGAACAATGTGTAGTCTTTGCCTTGCTGCTGGAGAAAGCTACATAGGTGACCAGATAGCACAGCTGCCTCCGAGGGTTGCTTCAAGGGCGAAGATCCCCTGAGGCTTTTGTCTGCTTCCATCTCTAAAAGTGATCTCTTTTGCAGGAAAAAGGCGTAGCCCTTTAATCTACCTGCTTCAATCTCTCTCAAAGATTTAGAAAACATTTGATTATTGGTTTGGCTAATAATGTTTCCTTCAAAAAGACATGATTTTACAAGTAAAATCAATTGTATCTTGGGCTTTTGAAATACATACGGGAGTAAGAACACAAGTTCCCTGGGGAAGGTAAGATCGAGCACTGGTAAAGGGGACTACTCCAGTCCAATTACCTTCTGGGCTCTCTCCAGACGGCAGCCACCTGCCATGGAGCTGTGATCCTCAAGGATGCTCTAGGAGCCTAAGGAATCAATCAGAATCAAAGGGACGCCTTATTTCTGTTTGTTTTTTCCAGAATATGGGGAATGCCAAGTCAAAATACCTTACTCCTTTGGAATATATTCTTTTTTTTTTTTTTAATATATTCTTAAACACCGGCAGAAGTTCGATCCTCACGCACTGAGGAAGAGCAGCCTAATATTCTTCTGCATGGCCTACCTATCCTCTAGAGCCAAGATGGAATGCAAAGGGAAGTATTAATTATGATGACATTTTACAACTAGAATTATACTGTAAAAAAGAGGGAAAATGGTCAGAATTGCCTTTGTCCAGATCTTTTTTACATTAAGAGATAGTTATGGGCTGGGGATTTAGCTCAGTAGTTTCGCCACCTGCTGCACCAGCACAAGGATCCAAGTTCAATCCCCAGTACCGGAAAAAAAAAAAAAAGAAAGAGAGAGAGATAATCCTGATTTGTGTTCAAAGTGTAGATATAAGCTGCAGGAAGACCAGACTCCTCCAGCCCTTATCACTAAACCTGAGGTTTTCTGCCCTCACCTTTTGGACCCTGAGGACAGTTTCTGAGGTAATCCCAATGAAAGTGCCACCTACAGCCAAACTTAAAGTTTTTCCCACTTTCCCTTTAGAGCTTGATA